TGTTGTTTCCTCATCACAAACATACCAGGAGTTTTGTTTTGATTCACACATGCTTAACACACAAACCCTGCATGTTTATTCAGAGTTCATCTCTCAGACAGAAAACACTGTACGTTGTGATGTCATGTGGTAATACAGGAAGTGTTCCACTGCATTTTTGAACTCCATACACCTTCACTACAATCATCTGGATAATTTCAGATTTGCAATTACCAATCTATGAACTAAAGGTAAAAGGTAGCTGTTAACTTGAAAACCAGCATGGAGCATTTTTAGCTTTGGAGATGTAGATAAACTAATAATGCAGGATAACATTTTGCATGCAAATACAAGTTTCCAAAGCTTAAAATCAAAATGTCATTGCCCGGAAAATCACACTTTTCACGGACCCACCATGAAGTTAGCTGACTGAGGTAATGTCTTAAGTCTTTTAACATCCATATTACAATTCCAAATGTCCCAAATAAATCATAATATAATGATCCAGGGGTGTAAGAATATATGAGGGATGCACCGAAATGAAAATTTGTGGCCGAAACAGAATAAAAATTAAACGCTTGGCCAAATACTGAAACCTAATATCAAATGCAGTTAGTTTTTTTTACTATTTTTTTAAATATTGCATAAATAGCCTAAAATAAAATTTTAGACATGTTTTTAAAAGAAAGTTAATGTTTATTTAATAATCTTTAAATATTCCAGTAGCCTTTCAAATAAGTGTACCAGTAAGTTTTTCATTCATATTAGGCTAGGCCTTCAAACAAAACAACAATTCCAAAAAACTTAAGTGCATTAAAGTGGATAAACCCACAACAAACTAGAAAAGCATTCAGAGAGGGCAGACCTCCACCAAGGACTACCCCCATTTTTTATATAAATTGCGATAAAATCAGTCTTCTGGATCAGATCAGGATCAGGCTTTGGAATATGAAAGAGGATCCCATTGTCCATCCCTGAGTCAAATTTCATGGGGTTTGGTCAATAATGTGAATTAGTGTGTTCTTGTAACCTCATACACTTAGGGTGCACTCACACTAGGACTTTAGAACTGTGCCCAAGCACGATTCACCCCTAAAGCACAGTACACTTGTCCAGTGGCACGGCACAGTTGGGACTATGGCCCGTTTGGAGGAGGTGGGCCAAAGCACGGCACGATTACTCATGTACACACACACTAGAGGTAAGATCTTAAGACCGAGCCCAAGCCCGACCCGACCCGACCCGAATTTCGGGTCGGGTCGGGTCTAAAATGTCAATCATTACTTCGGGTCGGGTCGGGCTCGGGCTTCAAATAAATATATGTTTATAAAATGTATGCTAAAACGATGTGTGGATACTAAACTAAGGAATACTTGTTATAAAATAAATAATATGGATAAAACAGAGAAGTAATGTAATGTAATTGCTATTTAACTACTAAACAGGATCCGCAGAGCCAGAGCTCTGCGCACGTGAACGCCCCCTCTTAATTTAATAATCTTCCCCTCCGCAAGTCTGCATCTATTTTGACCTGGTATCCCCAATATGGAGGAGCAAGAAGTTAAACTAAAGGCAGGAGAACTGAAAAGACAACACGCATCGGTAAGAGTGAGGTGTGGAAAAGCTTCAAATTGATTGTAGAAAATGCTACAGAAACTTGCGTTGGCTTCGCTGAATGTCGTCAATGTGGCGCTTTGCTTTCATACGAGAGCAAAAAGACTGGCACCTCGACGCTGAGCACTGCTCCTCCTCCTGAGTCCTCACCACTGTTGGGCAAGTTACTTTAAAACTGTAATGCGTTATTTATTACTTATTACTGTCATTTCAAAGTAATTCGTTACATTACAATATTACTGCATTTAAAATGTAAGGCATTACATTACTATTGCATTACTTTAAGTTACTCTCACCAAAATAACTGCGAAAAAGCTGAACTTTTGAGCCGTATATGGACTGAACCAGGACTAAACAAGGTCTAAACCAGGACTAAACCAGGACTATAACAGGACTAACCTCAGACTGATTCCAGGACTGAAGAGGAGGACTAAACCAGAACTGAACTAGGACTAAAACAGGACTCACTGTCAGGATGGGCTTGAATGTGACCGCAGGAGAAAGGAGCGGCTTTGCTCCGCACCTCATGGAGGTAAGAGCGGCTGTCGCCCGATCGCCCTTTATGGACCCTGCTGCGCGGGCTCACGGTCCTGATTTCAGCAACTATTTGCGGGTACAAGACCAGGTGCAAAACTCTGCTACAGCGCGTAACTTCTACCTTCCTTCAACGTGTCCAGAAGTCCAACTTTCTGTGCGATGGTTTGCATCGTCCTCTGTCTTTTGGGTGTGAGCGCAGGAGACTTTGTCGGTGCAGAACATTTCGTCGACGTTGTGGATTTTGTCGGAGAGAAAACTTGCAGACATACAGCACTTCAGAATCACACTGATACAGATTGAACATTTATTTAAATTTGGCAGCTGAACATATTCTGTACTGTAGAGGAGACAGGAGTCCCTTAGCCGATCAGGACACAGCGGGAGGAACGCAATACGTGTTCATACACTAAAAACAAAAGGCATGCAAAATTGCACAAAAAAAAAAATCTAAAAATCAGCGAAACAGCGAGACCGCGAAAAGTGAATCGCGTTAGAGCGAGGGACGAGTGTAAACCAGGTCTAAACCAGAAGTGACCCAGGTCTAAACCAGGTCTAAACAGCGTAGAGTTCTGGGTCGGTCCTTTCGCCCGCGGTTAACTGAAGGTTTATCCGGCCGCGTCTCCGGCGTTTCACCGCTGCTGATTTCACGGTGATTTTAGCGAATTTCTATGAAGAAAAACCCACCAATTCAATCCAGGTTAAAAAAGCATTGTAACGCGCGTTACTCACATTTGTACCGAGTAAAATATTACAATTTTTCCCCCTGTAATGCCGAACATTACTGCGTTACAGCAAAAATCAACGCATTACTGTAATACATTACTTTTATAATACATTACTCCCAACACTGGTCCTCACAAATAAAATATGACATTTCGGGTTTGCTTCGGGCTCGGGCCTGCAAATCAAGTTAATTGGTCGGGCTCGGGCCGGGTCAGGTTTTAATACCTGCGGGCCGGGTCGCTTCGGGCTGCATTTTTTAGGCCCGATCTCACCTCTAACACACACGCACAACTTCACTATACAAGCCCTGTGTGTGCGCTGATGTCACTCATACTAGGAATACAATGAATAAACTCCAATCCGTGCTCACCTTCAGCGAGGACTGTGACAGACAGAAATTTAGCTGCCTCTTGTCGCCGACTGTCATCACTTCTCCGCACTGTTTATATCCATAAACTCATGGAGGAGCACGTATCATAAGAGGATGCACATCTGTCTCACTATTTAATAGATATTTCATGCCGCTGGACTTATATTCTCCGCTAAAGTGATAGCACATGTAAACAAACAGCGCGGTATGATGATGTCATTGGCCGTGGCCCGGTTCGGTTGTGCAGGTTTGAGTGCAGAACATAGAACCCACAGCAATCGTGTTTGAGCACAACACAATTCTAAGGTCCTAGTGTGAGTGCACCCTGATTATTTCCACACTGCCATCATTTCAAAGAAGGTGCCAGATCACCATGTCACTGCAGGTTGTTTGATTGCATCATTGTGTCACTCAGCCTTACTTTTAACTCACTTCACCAAAAGCCAAATGTGGCTTTTTTTTTTTTCAATATTCAGCCGAATATATTCATTTGTCGAATATTTGGTACATCCCTAGAAAATATCTTCTTTAAATGCTGTTGGGCTACAGATTGTTACAGGAACATGGAGCACCATTGCTTTTTATTGTGTTTAACAAAAAAAGCGTCTCTGCAGACAGGGACAGTTTATTCTGTTGGGAACATTCCATGCAGAACCTTGTGAAGTGTATTGTGAGAACATTTGGTATCTGGCAGTCCTATTTCCATGAATACCAAAACCAAGGAAATGTTCAAGTGAATCATCTTTGCCTCTGCTCTGTTAAACATGCTACTCTCTTATGACACAAAGTCGACATGCGATTTGCTCATATTCTGGTTTTTCCAACACGGTACCATGCTCTTTTCACTCCATTGTGCCTTACTTGTAGAAATGTTTTGCAGGCCTTGGTATGGATCACCGAATACCAAAGCTCTTCTCTAAAGGATCAAAGTATCAAATAAACATGAGGCAAGTTCTCCCAGCTGACATTAAAGTGGTGCGTTTTGTAAATTTTTCAGAAAAACGTCTCCTATGCAGATTGGCTTTATAGCTGCTTGAGCATATCAGGGATGAGGGGAGCGCCTGTTTTGGCGTGTTTTAGCTGAGCTGTATCCTCTCGGCAGCCTGCTGACATTCATGATTTTAGCGTGACTCTCTCATCGCTGTCTCTCTCTCTGCCTCAGTCATAATCACTGCTCTTTATGATCACTTTGCCCTCTCTGCCCTTTCAAGATGCTGCGTGTAATGAGGGCTCTGGAGGACCGCAGTGTGAGTGGGCTATTTAGCTATTCAGACGAGATTGGTGCACACATCCCACACGCTCTCCATCTCCGCTAGCTCGCCACCAAAAGATTACCACCACGTGAGCTTGGAGCTTGTTTGCCCCGTGCACAAGGTCATCACATGAAAATAAAACAATGGTAATGATACTCATGGGTCCATGCAAAATAATAGAATATTATTATGACAACGGCACTGGGCTAAATGCTACTACTACTATGACTACTACTACTTCTAGCATACTGCTTAGAGTCTTGCTATCATCCTCCCACTCCCACATAACTAGTAATTATGCACTGTTTATGGTAGAGGCCCTTCCAGCTGCACCCAGACACTCCATAATAAATAATACACAATCAATTAAATAACAGGACTTTAAATAAATAAAAAAATAAATAAATAAATAAACATTTGCATAATATCTCCTATATTTAAGTCCCGCCCACAAGAACAGCTGACCAATGAGCGGTCACCCTCTCCCCTCACACGCGCTCCCCTGCGTCATTTCCTCTCACTCTTCCGTGTCAACATGGCGGCATCCATGGCATCACAAGTTGCAGCAAAAGGACTGAGGACAGCTACCTCAAAACACGTTTTCCTTGACAAACTAAAGGTAATTTTAATGCGAGACGCTTTGTCTGCCTCGTTCGACTGTGCACGCGGGTTTTTGTCTGCTGTCATTGCGCAGAAGAGCGTTTAAATGCCTTATCTTCTTAGCATCTTAGCATGGCTAACGCAGAGTGCAGTGAAAGATCAAAGTTTAACTTGATGTCCGGACTCCGTGCCCAAGGTTGTTTTGCTCACGATATCTATTTAAAAATGAAGATGCATGGCTCAGAAAACGTGTTACTTTTCTCCTAACTTTACTGATCCTTACATGTTGATTATGAAGCTGTTACATCATGGGATTTAGTACTGTGAAATTAAAGGCTGCACTTATTATTTTTCCATTTAGTGCAAAACTACAAGCTGATTCTTGCACTTATTCATAAATTAGCATTGTTTATTTGATCAAGCTGTACAACTAGATATTAGCTAATCACTCCTGTATTGGTAGTGCAGTTCAAATAAACAGAGGCACATCTTGTACTTTGAACTTACAGGGTTTTTGCGTGAACTCATCATCTGATTACCTTTGCTTTGCACATAATGCTATCACTGCATTACTTGTAACTCTGTACTCTGTGGACATTGGGACCAGATAAATGTAAACTGGTGCAGTGTAGTCCATATTTTCGAAAGATAACACGAGAGTAGAGCTGTTCAGGATCATGTTTCACATCCGTTTAAGATCCTATATAACACAAAATTGTGTAATATAGGACTTTTTTTGAGCTTTGAGCCAAGAAAGTTGTATTGTTGTTGCTTCATTAAAAAAACACCAGTTGTTTTGGTTTCATTCACACATGTTTGAGCAATCCTGGATTATTACAGTACTCTGTCTGCATCTCCAAAACTCAAAATGCTCTGTTCCACTTTGTCATGAAGCTGTAATTTTCAGGTAACAGATACCTTTTACCTTTGTAGTTCACTAGAGACTGGCAATTCTAGGGAGCAGTTTCTTTATTGTCACATGACATCACAAGGACAATGTTTTCTTATTTTATTGGCACTCAAAACTTAGTTTCTGGTGTTATAAGCTTAAAAGGACTTGTAATGAACCTCCTAAAGAAATAAATTCTGAAATTCTTTCTGATCACGGCACCTCTGATTACTCAGATTTAGCAATTTGCTTGTCATTTAAGAAATGTTAAAGGTCTACAAATAGGTTAATCGGTTTCATGTGACTCTTCTGTTATATTTGTTGGCCATATGTTTAATTCCAAAGAAATGCATAGTAAAAAAATTGTCTTATTTGTTTTTGACACATAAAATAATTCTTAATATCAATATGCGAATGTAGTCGGTGAAAAGTGTGCAAACTGTTATTCTGGAGGTTTAATTTTCTTTTAAAAATGTATGTTCAGCAGCATCTCTCTTACAAATGTGCAGTATTGCCTCCCCTGACTTGCTGCACATCTCTTCTCCTCCCCTGTCTCCCATTGGCCATGGTGATAAGAATATCTTGAGTATCATGGATTCTCTGTGCCTATGCCTGTTAGTATCAGGTTCTATATAACAGGCAGTGTGTGCACAATAGATTCAAATGTGCAATAGCAGGACATCAGCACAGGAATTGCATTTGTACTGATTTGTCAACAACAATACCTGTTCCTCACCGTCTCCAGCGTCTGCAGGAAACTGTTAAAAAAGACCAAATTCAGTGTCTTCTCCTCATGCCTTCTTTTTCTTTTTCTCTTATAAATCACATTTCCTGAAGTCTTGTCTGCACAGCCATACAATCCTGGGGCTGTTTTTCACTTTCTCCCTGCAGTGGCACATTTGTAAACGTTTGTTAAGTTTGTGTTTTTTTGGTGAGGTGTCCCGGCCCGGTAATCGTCCAACTGTATCGAATCCCAACATGGTTTGAAGTGAAACACGGGGAGGAAAGGTTGCTAAATGAGGCATGGTGCTGAATATGTTACAGAAGGGGGGGTGGAGAGGCTCTGCTCGCTCCCACTTCTTCTGCTGGAACTTCAAACGACGGCCGGCTTCCCCATCTGTCTCCACCAGAACACATTTACATTTCCTCCCCGCGAGGGATACTGCAGGACCAAGTTAGCTCTAACTGGATTTGAATACCGCTTCACCAAGGTTAATAGTCATTTCTGTAGCTGCTGAGGTGCTTAGGCTTTTTCAATAATTTAGGAGGGCTGCAGTCATTAGGAAGTGTTGGCAGCTTCTGGAATGGCTAATGCAATGAGTGAATGCGCCCCTATTAGCTCTGTTGCGCTACTGTTGCTGTGTTGCTAATGAGAGGGAAGTGGGAGTGTTTTTGTAAAGTAAATAGAGAAAACAATGCCAGCTCTCGACAGCTGTAATTCATCAAATGTGCAGTACATTGAGACGGCTCAGTGTCTGCACAGCCTCATCCATCTCTTATGATGGAACTACATCACACACTACTATAACTTTGCTCTACGGCGCTTTGAGTTCACAAAGTTTGTGTTAAGTGTTGGCAGTACTGATCATTTGCAGTCTTCCTTCTGTCATAATGTTACTTGTTAGTGCTAGTTAGAATGGATTGGGATTTTTTTTTTTTAAAGAACAGTGGTCCAAATTCAAACAGCTAAAAAAAATAGCAATCCAATAACAATCCAGTAAGTCCCTGTACAATTTTTTTCCCATGCATTTGAGCAAAATGTGTCGTGCCCCAGTACAGATACAGTATTGTAGCTGTTGAGGTCAAAATAAGTTCACTATGTGCTGTCTGCATCTAAACTGTATTTTACTTTCAGATAATCAGGAAGTGCACATTAGTATACTAGTTGTTGAATCAGTGAATAATTAAGACATTTTGTTAAAGTGAGGAATAACTCACTGAACCACTGCAAACCAGTTAAAATGAACTAGTTCTGTTTGCTAGTTCGATACTGAACTGTTTTTTTAAATTGATTTGACAATGGACAATTTAAAGAGGCTTAACTTCTATTATGTGTGGAATATTAAAGCTGTTGAATTTCATATTTTACTTTACCTTATACTTCTGTCCACATTATTCATTTTGATACATTTTTATTTTACTTTTCTAACTATATAAAGACATAACTATACAGCTACAAATTACCTGATTATTGCATTTGTTTTGAACTGATCTGACACTGGCCTTTGTCACTGTAGTTTTTAGCAGTGTTACCTATTAATGGTTTTTCAAGTGATGAATAATCAGCACAGCTGCCATAGCGCTTAACATTTCAAAACTAAATATTATCTTTTTAAATGTCGAAAAGTCCTCAAGATGTCACATGGTAAAACAGGATCCTGATATCCATGTTAGAGGAGTGTTTTGTTTTGCAAGTCAAAGTCACTAATTTGTCTGTGTTTCTTTTCATATTGACCTGGCATCAGTAGATCTCCCTCTTTGCACCTCCTCTAATTAACTATATGCTAATTAGTCAAATCCCTATCTGTCGACTCCCCACACTGCAGTCTTCTTTAAGCCTGTCTGCCGGAGATTAGACCTGCCTAAAGACCTCAACACGATGCAGATCACATACATCCAGGTGCATGCTCCTAATGCCATGTGTCCTTGCCTTGTGCTCTTGGGTGTTGTTGATATATTCCCTTGTCTTTTGAGTTTTGGAATTTAAAACAAGACATCTTAATTACTGTAGATGTAGATTAAAAAGATAGTTTGATGTTTGGTCTGCCCTTTTATCTCTTCAGAGCTATTTATGTGTCCTAAGAACTTGTGGACTATACAGTTTTCTGTCATCTGGTTGTTTCATGAAAATGGCTCTGCCTGAAATGTTCCACAATATGGTATATTACGGAAGCCGAGAGATGTCACAACAAATGCAAATGCCGCAACAAATACAAATGCGACAACACATTAAAAAGCCACAACACATCGAAAAGCCACAACGGAAGTGAACTACAACGTGAAAAGTAAAGGAACGGAGAAGTTGGAAACGTAAGTAAAAGTAATTTATTGTTTCATCATTATTCGTTTCACGCTGTACTTCTTCTTTACTTGCTGCTTGATCGGTCCGTCAGAAAATAGAGTCCCGCGGTCACTTTCGTTGTGGCTTTTTGATATGTTGTGGCTTTTTAATGTGTTGTGGCTTTTTTAATGTGTTGTGGCTTTTTAATGTGTTGTGGCATTTGCGTTTGTGTTATGGCATTTGTATTTGTTGCGGCGTTTGCATTAAAATAGAGTCCCGCGGTCATTTCCGTTGTGGCTTTTTTTGGTTTGTTGTGGCTTTTTGTTGTGTTGTCGCATTTGTATTTGTTGCAGCGTTTGCGTTTGTTATGACCCCTCTTGTAGTATATAGTCTATTGTTAATTTATTCAATAGTTTTTTTTTTTGTAAAACATGCTTGTGTGGAATCACCGGGTCTGCTTGTCTCTTAGTATTGTCTCACAATACTAAAATTTCAAGCACAATTTTGATACTAAGGCATAGACTCAATACCCAATCCCGCTTCTTATACCACAGGCATTAAAACACTTTCTTAGACAGTAGTCTATGTGGTCTTATACTTGTTTTTATACAACTCATACAGATCATTCTAAAGCTATTCAGGAAAGTCCTTTTCAGTCCTGTGAATGTGACTTTTTTTTAGTATCAATATCTGTTTACCTATAAATTAGTGTCTACTGTTGTTAACCCATCCCATGAGGAAACTTTAGCACATTTTTTAGAACATTCCAGACAAAACAACAGAAGAAAAAAAAAATAATCAATTTTTGGACAGATATTATGCACCTTAAAACTTACAAATTCCCTCTTAAGCACAATTACCAAAATTTAAAATTTCTTGATCTCTCTTAAGATGTTTTATTTGATATCAGATGATGAAACCTGATCTTCAATGACTCTTGATATGAGGTGTGCTCCTACATGGTTGGCTTGTAGTGTACACACTGGGGTACTCGAGCCTGTTTTGCCCCAAATCCATGTCAAATTGTGTATTTCAAAGAAGTTGCATCAGCTCTTTCACGGTTTACTATGCGCAGTGCTTGTCTAATCTCAACACTGTGCTTTTATGACTTGCAGCTGCCTCCTCATTA